TCTAGTGGTCAAGATTGGTGGTTTTCACGCAGGCGGCAAGGGTTCGATTCCCTGTTTGGGAATACCTTTTCTTATGCCACCAGCAAACGGTCGTGCATCTGGTGGCATGATGCCTTGATTTTATGGGACGTTTCGCAATGCAGAGCAGCATAGCAAGTAATGGACAGTGGTATATCCCATGTGGTCTAGTGGTTATGATTCGTGGTTTCCACCCACGAGGCACGGGTTCGATTCCCGGTGTGGGAATACGTTTTCTTATGCCACGAGCAAACGGTTCTGCATCTGGTGGTATGATGCATTGATTTCATGAGAGGTTTCGCAATGCAGAGCTGCATAGCAAGTATTGGACAGTGGTATATCCCATGTGGTCTAGTGGTCAAGATTGGTGGTTTTCACGCAGGCGGCAAGGGTTCGATTCCCTGTTTGGGAATACCTTTCCTTATGCCACTAGCAAACGGTCGCGGATCTGGTGGCATGATGCTTTGATTTCATGAGATGTTTCGCAATGCAGAGCAGCATAGCAAGTATTGGACAGTGGTNGTATTGGACAGTGGTATATCCCTTGTGGTCTAGTGGTCAAGATTGGTGGTTTTCACGCAGGCGGCAAGGGTTCGATTCCCGGTTTGGGAATACGTTTTCTTACGCCACTAGCTTGCGGTTCTGCATCTGGTGGCATGATGCTTTGATTTCATGAGATGTTTCGCAATGCAGAGCAGCATAGCAAGTATTGGACAGTGGTTTATCCCATGTGGTCTAGTGGTCAAGATTGGTGGTTTTCACGCAGGAGGCCCGGGCTCGATTCCCGGTTTGGGAATACGTTTTCTTATGCCACTAGCAAACGGTCTTGCATCTGGTGGCATGATGCTTTGATTTCATGGGATGTTTCGCAATGCAGAGCAGCATAGCAAGTATTGGACAGTGGTATATCCTATGTGGTATAGTGGTCAAGAATGGTTGTTTCCACCCACGCGTGATGGGTTCGATTCCCGGTTTGGGAATACGTTTTCTTATTTCCGCTAGCAAACGGCCGTGCATCAGGTGGCATGATGCATTGATTTCATGAGATATTTCGCAATGCAGAGCAGCATAGCATGTAATGGACAGTGTTGCATCCCATGTGGTCTAGTGGTTATGATTCGTGGTTTTCACCCACGCGTCCCGGGTTCGATTTTCATTATCGGAATACGTTTTCTTATGCCACTAGCAAACGGTCTTGCATCTGGTGGCATGATGCTTTGATTTCATGAGATGTTTCGCAATGCAGAGCAGCACAGCATGTATTGGACAGTGGTATATCCCTTGTGGTCTAGTGGTTAGGATTCGTGGTTTTCACTCACGCGGCCCGGGTTCGATTCCCATTATCGGAATGCGTTTTCTTATGCCACTAGCAAACGGTCTTGCATCTGGTGGCATGATGCTTTGATTTCATGAGATGTTTCGCAATGCAGAGCAGCACAGCAAGTAATGGATAGCGGCATATCCCATGTGTTCTAGTGGTTAGGATTAGTGCTTTTCACCCACGCGGCCCGTTTTCGATTCCCGGTTTGGGATTACGTTTTCTTATGCCACTAGGAAACGGTCGTACGTCAGGTTGTATAGTAGATTAATTCTATGAGATGTTTCGCATTGCAGAACAGCATAGCAAGTAATGGACAGTTGTGTATCCCATGTAGACTGGTGCTTAGAATTCCTGTCTTTCTCTCACGCGGCCCGGGTTCGATTTCCATTATCGGAATACGTTTTCTTATGCCACTAGCAAACGGTCGTGCGTCTGGTGGCATGATGCATTAATTTTATGAGATATTTCGCATTGTAGAGCAGCATAGCAAGTAATGGGCTGTGGTGTATCCCATGTAGACTAGTGCTTAGGATTCCTGTCTTGCAGCTCGCCTTCGCAGTTATGGTTGCCCTTGTCGTTAATCATTTTGGATAATTGGTTTGTAGTGTCATGGCTTTCACTCTCGTAGGCCATGCTGTATTCATGACATGAAAGCATTGTATAGTGAGCATTTTTTCGTAAGCTGTGGTCTCTGTTATCAGTATGCTGTGATATGTGAAAACTCTGGTGGATGTTTTGCACGGGGGTTGACCTGTTTTATACAGATTAATTGGAATACCACCCACTCGATGCTCAGATTTTATTGCGAAATCCGTTTGTTATAAAATCTGTGGACTGCAGTGTTATCTAAGTTCTGTAATAATGTGACGGATTTATGTATTCGTCAATGAATTTGGTCAATGGCAGCATTTTCATTAATACAGTGCCTGAAATAATGCAGCATATTTTATTTGTATCTGAGCTTTTACCCTGATATTGGTCATGTCTAGTGTGCGGCCGAAGGCACTGTCATTGACATCCGATAATGTGACATATTGCTAGTGGAGTATTGTTCGTCCTAATAAATATCAGTTAGATCAGCCCTCGTTCTTTCTTCTCTTTCCTTTATCTTCCTTTGCTCCCGGTATCCTTTCCGAATCCATGCTTGACGATGGATTTATCGATTTCTCTTCACCAGAACAAAGCCTTATGGGTCGCGGAAAAACCTTAATTTTTCTGACACTTAGTAAGCCTTTGCTTTTACATGGAACTGTTAATAACTTTTAAAACAAACATGGGCTTTGACAGTACTTTCCTCCGATTCGTTGCTTTTCTCAGGTCCGCAGTATTGAATACAGGAAATTTCGAAAAGCTGGAATTTGTTTTCTAGAATTTGCTGGTAAATGAAGAAATGAGCAGTTTTCGCATACCATTTGTTCTGGTTGCATCTTATAAAGCTCAGGGAATAGGTTTTGACAAATGAACGATGCAAATTGGCGCAAATTGGCTACATGAGAAATCGCAATCACAGCTCCTGAAATCTTAAAACCTACTACTAGAACATAATGAGCTTCTATTCCTAGAATCGATATTCGACTGCATTACTAACACCATTACCTAAGCGCACTTGAATTCATTCAGTTTTCCATATGATGAGCAACAAAAATCGTTGCAGTTCACTCACCTCTGCATAAAGTCTTTTCTATGTTAAATGTGTCATGTAATCCCATATTTCACATACCTGATTTATCCATAATTTGATGTTTAAAATCTTGACTTGTTAATTCATCCCTTTCTGTGATCCTATTCAACAAAACGAGTATCCCCTGATGCTCCCGCTATGCATCTTTGGTTTGAAAACTCATCACTAACAATTACTTCTCTTTGAGGCTGGACAAGAGAAAACAAGAAACTTAGGCGCTCATAGCAGCATTGGTGAAGTAGGAACGTGTTCTAAGAAAAACTGGGTTAAAGCCAACTTTTCGACCGCATGGTAACTTCGACTCAACTTTAACTCTAGAAGACCTAGACTCCATGTAAACAGAAGGAAAGTCAGTGCGGAGCACTATATCTAGACTGTGATTCTAAGACTATTCTGTTTCACGCAAATAAGCAAGGAACTTCGGAGCAGCAACCGTAAACCAAAAATCCGAGACGCATCAGTGTGCGCCATGATTTCGAAAATTAAAGGATTCCGGAACATACTTCTTAACGCAACTCGGCAACCGTTAGTGATTGAGTGGATTCCACGGAATGCGTAACACGCAACAGGAGGGCTACTGACCAGGTGTTCAAACTTCTTAAGGATGGTGTAGGAAATGTGTTATGCACTTTATGTCTATGAAGCCAGTGGGCAGAAACAACTCGTTGGACTGTGCAATACAAGTGTAGATGTCTTACCAGCATCCTCTAATTACTTTACGACAAACGAGAGGACGGCAGATAAAGGTGATACCGGTAAATGGGCTTAACGAAGGGAAAAGAAGTAAACACGTTAACTAAACGCCAATATTAAAGAAAAATTAGGTAAACGCCAATATTGATGACCTTATCAACAGGTGAATTCTATGCTATATCGTTGTTCTTCATCTAGAGACACTCATTGTCACAGGTACCCATCGGTGAACTGGAGGCGGTTAGAGGTGTATTTCTATCATATACTTGTGAAACGATTGTAACATCACTTTTTTAAACATGCAGAGGCAATAATGGTTGGTCACTGGAGTCTACTAACATTTTCGCATGACTGATCTCCGTCTAGATTGCATAGCAATTCTTGTTGTTCATTCAAGTGTAGTACCTTTTCATTTAATGGCCCCTTTTGTACTAACTCACATTGGTTGCTTCATTTCACACACACATTATGCAGCAAATTAAAAGGCGACATCATGAATTGAAGACCTCTCCAATGGTCTACCGCCTCATCGTGGCTCGGAGGGGTTTCTGGGTGTCGGNCACATTGGTTGCTTCATTTCACACACACATTATGCAGCAAATTAAAAGGCGACATCATGAATTGAAGACCTCTCCAATGGTCTACCGCCTCATCGTGGCTCGGAGGTGTTTCTGGGTGTCGGACTGCGATGTACAGCGGGAGATTCGTCTTTCTGGTAAAATCTCCCAAACTGAGAAGTCCGGCATTTCCATCAGGAAGCCTAGCTAAGACTAAACCAATACTAGAATCCACCAATGTCCCGGTATTAAAGTCGCATGGTGACAAATTTTCCTTTTATCCTCAAGTGCTGCGACAGTCTGTGGTGATGAAGACCTGGGGCAGACTTTGGCCAGGCTGACCTCGGAAATCCAGGGAACCACAATGGCTTAAACAGCAATTCTTCGAAAGATGAAGATTATGTTGGGCCAGCACAACCAATGAGGTGGAGCCATTCAAGTGTCAAGTATCGAGTATTGAAGAGCAGCTTAAACATAAGTTTATTTCCTGTTTCTATTTCTAGGAAGATAACAAGGTGATGCTTCATATGCATGGATAAAACAGGATGGATACAACGGCACGGATAAAATGTTGATAAGTTATTTGTTTGGCAACGTTTCCTGCGTGATGTACGGATAAGCAAACTCATTCTTCATAATCTACCATGAACTTTTTATTTTTGTTCATAATTCAAAAAAAGACCATTAACAGTTTTCTAGACACCGCAGAAAATGAAAGCAAAAATACTCGAAATCTAAAACTAGCAAAAAGAACTTGACCGCCGTTTTAAAACAACAATTAGCAGAGTTTAGTCTTGGCTTTTCCTATCTTTCTGCTCTTTTTCTATTCTTGGCGCAGTTAGTAAGTCCTTGATATATATTGAAAATGGACACCTCACAGAACAAAAGTGAAACAGACATCACAGAATATGTCTCGACATGGTAGGGAATCCTTTCTGTTCCTACATACTGTCATCCATCTCATATGTAGCTAGTATACTTGTCATAGAGAACAGGTGAAGTAAAGAGCAAATATTTCGAGGAGATGGCTCACTGAAGAAGGCCTAACTCGACACGAAGGCGAAGCTGCCACGTCGAGGCGAATAACAAGCGAGGACCATCGACTCGGATCATCGGCTCTGAGGAAGACGAAGACGTCGAAACATTAGCCAAAAATAAACATCATTATCAACCTCGTGTAAGCTCATCAAAGAAGGAATACATAAAGAGCAAATGTTCATTATCTATTCACGCATATGAACTAAACGGGACTTCCATAGGGGTGCTTGAAGCGTCCCTTCCTTTGTAGACTTTCTATGTTTTTCTGATGTACTTTCTTACACCCATCGTAGTACCGTTGAATTAGCTTCGTTGTGAAAACTACCCAATCTTTGTCCGATGTACTTTGCCACCTTGATTCAGTTCCACAAGATTGCAACAACTGGCTAACTCTGACGATAAACAGCCATCTATACGAGTATTGGCCACTGCTGCATGTTATGTATGCACATACCGATTCAACATCTATGCATTAGTATCATCCTCATTCTAATGTAATTATGGTAATTTCAGTTTATCTCAATTCATCTAAACTCTACTAATCCGTTGCTCCGGTGCTTATTCTCGTTCTGCTCATGCAAATTACAAAAATTACAACTTTGAGGCTCAAGCCGCAGCACACACAAGAAAGGTCGCGCTGAACAACATAGGAAGACGAGCATTCCTTACAGAACTAGCACATGAAACCAGTGCATAACCCGATCTAACTCGCGTTTCATCGGTTTTATTGAGTCTGAGAATCTAACAATGAAACCGTAGAAAAGGAGTTACCTTTTCTTCCTTGTAAATGTGAATGCGAGTCAAGGATGGCGATAGTGCCATTCTCTCTTTCATGCACTATTAGCACGGCTCTCTCGACGATGATCAAAACGAAGAACAATACGGGTAGATGAGCGATGAACTCACTGCAAATTGGCACGGGTATAGCACCATATTCCGTATTCTTCCCAAAATTTGCACGCATTTATAACAACCGTCTACTGGTTGTCTTTATTTCGACAAATATTATCTTGCTTCTCAAAACAGGAACTAACCAGCTTCAAAATGCATGTTTTCAAGAATCAATTGGCTATTAGCGAGCCACTCATGGAGATGTGTGGTGATTTCATAATATGCCACGTAGTTAGCTTTTTATTTGCTGTCCACTATAACTTTTCACAGCAGGGTGTGATTTAAAATACAACCACATTGAAGCTGAGATATTTGCAAAACTTGGACTCCGGGCAGATCGAACCACGATTACACTTTTTAGCGACTCGCACATACACACTGCACCACGGAGGCCCATGGCTTTTCTCTCGGATACTATGTAGTTATGTGAAAATCTACGGCATTACACAAAGGTGTAAAATATGCATAGTTTTTACAAAATCGAAGCTAAGTAAAAGCAATCCTAAAAGATTTACTTTTGAAAATGTATAGCAATAAGCCGCCACTCGCTAAAGCGATGTTTTGTCTCAGGTATTGTTGCGACTGAACCCCTCCAATCTTGTCTTATTACGGAGGCACAGAAGTCTGTGTGAAATAAAACGCTCTATCCTCCATCGTCTCCCAACCAACAATCATTTAGTACAAATTGATCACCGTCAATTAATACATTTTCTATCGCCTGACAGCCCAGCATATTGATATTATGAAGGATAAAACATAAAACTGTAGGCGTTTATCAATCCCTGAGAAACGCACCATGCATTCAACATCATCAAGTACCGTTAGAGTTGATCGCATCATTAGAGGTGATTGAATGCATATTTGACCTAAACAGTAATTCGCGGTGGCCTATTGATGATGATATCGAACCAGTGCTGCTATCCACCCAGACAGGTGTGGTGTTGATTTTCGGACCCAGGAGAGATAGAAGGCTTGAGGATTCTGGTGCATAGGATTAAACGTATGTGTTTTTCAGGGAACCTCTAACCACTGCGCTACACGTGCCCCATACTGAGAGTATACAAAAGAAGATAAGCCTCTCACCAATCAATAGCATACTGTATGTGCTGCGGAAGAAGTTTCCATGTGACACCACGAACGCTTCTGTAGTCGATCTCATGAATTACACGGCCAAGAGCCTCTATTCCTTGCGGTATGGTGAACGTGTCGAAAGCAGGCAAGCACGAACTCTTGATACTGCTTCTGAAAACAAGGAACCCCTTTTTTGCAGACAAGTATTTCACATCTAAAATGCTGACTGATGTGAAGAAACAATCTCGCAAGACTGTCGATAATTGATATAATACCACAGCACATTTGATAAGTACTACCGTTATAGTAGTAATAAGTTTAAAGCAAGAAACAAATTAATGAAGGCATTGCAGCTGTTAAATTCAATCATCTTATCAGATTTGCTTAGCTGTCACTTGAATTTGTTGTCCTCGCGTAGAAAAAGTTCCCACCCGCACACACGTCCCGCTAGCTAATACGGTTGATCCGGCCAGTTTCCTTTTAGAGTCTCAAAATGGCCACACTAGAGTTTACGCATTTAGTAAATACAGTCGATCACCAGACATTTAAGATCAGATACAGATTTACCTCTTGATAACTAAGATTTTCTCAACTAATTGTTGCTGCTTCAAAAAAATTGAGGGGTGGGGTAGGGTATCGTAGTTCAACTCATTCAATTCTTGCTGTGTTACCACTCCCACACGTTGTCGAGCGTAGTTTTGAAAAAAAAATGAGTTTCCCATTTAATCAAACCTATACAATTTCTGCAGGATCTCATCAATCAGTAGTTCTACATCATGATTGTTTTGAAAATATAAAAAACGTTGTATTACATGATTCCCTCTACCAAAAATGGTAAACTCATCATAACCGTCGTTTCGCAAAAATTATGCTTTAAAAAGTACCTAACAGAATAAAACACCTAAAATAAAAAAACCACATAGACATGATTGTGGATATGGTTTTTGTTAATGATGATCTTCGACCAAAAACTAGGCACAAATTTGGTCACCACATGTGCACTGTTCTTCTACAGTAGTAACCCATATCTTCTGACGTGGAGGAGCAAAAAATCATCGAACTTATATATAGTGGTTGTATAAGAAACTCACTGACGCTTCGCCATTTCGCGGGCGTGAACCGCATTCCCATCTACGATTGAGTTAGTTAGTAAAGCCAATAGTGACACTGGAATGATGAGCCCCTAAATAGAATGAAACAATGAATGTTTTCACCATGGCATCCAAATGTTATGTACTCACCTTTTTATTAGTATACCCTCGCGACAGCGGCATTTCAGGCAGTCGCATTCCTGACCTAGATATACATTGCCATATTAACAGCTATTTTTCAAAGTCTTCTATCGAAGCTAGGTGACAGTAAAATGATTTCAATAAAGAGCCTTCAATTTTTGAATCTGTTAATACAGACAATGGCAGGAGCCGTTCCGTCATAGATATTTTATAAATCTTTTGGAGGCTAAACATAGTATTCACTACATCCTTACCCTTTGGCTAGCAAACAGTGGCTGTGAGAGGATTCACTGAACAGATGGCGAACCTCCTTATTCTAATAGAATACATTTCTTAGAACAGCGCATGCGCTCCGTGCTTCTTAAACAACTAAACAACTTTAAATATGTGTTGGAAGTGTTCCTTGTTGTCTACCCACAATGTATTTCGGTATGGTTGTCCTTGCTAGGATTACCAAGCTAAGAAGGAGTTTGAAAAATTTCCACAGCGAAGCACAGCTAAGAGTAAACCAGTGAAATCCACTAGAACCTGACAACAAGGCGGTCAGTGGTAGTAAGGTGATGGAGACCTAGGACAGTTGTACCATACCTTCCAGGGAAAGAAAACCTAGTACAACTAGCGTACTATCCGTCAACCAGGGCTTTATGCCTTGGATTTCATAACTCTTCCTGATAGGTAAGCAGGGAACATTCAAGTAGTCAAGCGTTCAAGTAATACATTTCTAGCCAAAAGAAAGCAATAAGCTAGTGATGGGAAATAACCCTTAAAAAGAAGTAATTTAGCACATTAGCGACCGTCGCGCTTTTTCGAAATTTATGGAGAGCTTTTTGATAGCTGGACGAGACAGACGCGTAGAAGAGACGTTGACTTATCGGCCTAGAGGATATACAACTCATCTAGAATGGCATTTTGATTTTGAATTATTTCAAATGACACCTCCAAAAACTGAAAACGAGGCGAGCTTTCTAAAACTTTTAACGCAAACTCGATAACTGCAAATGTCAATGAGACTATTCAATGTTTAGTATTCTGTTGAACCAAATACCACTTGTTCGATGAACTCGCTACTTCATATATGAGACTACCAAGAATCACGAATAGTTGGATTTACCACAACCACGTTTCATTGCAATAAAGGATGAATAACAAAGCATTCGGGGTGATTATCAATCCCTTAGGGCTGCGCCGTGCATTCAACTCCGTGAAGCGTCGCCGAACTGATTGAAGGCATATTGGACAATAACTAGTGATGCACGTGCTGGCTTTATTTATTGGTTGCATTGTTGCTCTTAACCATTTTAGAGCTCATTGCTTATTTGGCCAATTTTCACTTAATTCTTTTCTCTTGCAATTAATTTCCAGTGATTTTAGCCTGTTTGAAACGCCTCGAGTCCTTGAGGTAAGTTATAACCGTCTTCTTTGTAAATTTTATAACGATAGAAGCGACCACTATTTTTCCTGGTAAGTGATGTCCGTATTTAGAATTCACTTGGCCGACATGCACTGAGTTGATTAAAGGGCGCAAAGAATTAAACGTCTTCTCTTGCCGCTAACATAGACCATTAGGTATCATCGCAAATGTGCTAAATGCCACTACTTGTCTGCGAATTGCATCAGTTTAACAATCAGTGCACATCTAAGGCCTTCGTTTTAAATCGGAAGTCACCGAATTTGTGGCTCTGTTTAACAGATTTGCACTTGTAGCAAGAAATCTTCCCTAAACATTATTGCTAATAAAATGGAATGAAAAGAGGCTGCAGCCAACCAACCTATGGTACACTCTGGCCATGGCCAGTGCAATAATTGTACAGGCGCTTGATGGCTTTCTTCTGCCTCCGAACCGTGACTGCGAAAGGTGTTGGGGCAGAGTCCATGCATAAATCCAGTCCTGCAAAAAGAAACTCCTGTTAAAAAAATATTCGAGAAATTCGGTGCAACTCACATCATAAACCTGAGCTACAGACCAGTGATTGTTAGTAGAAGGGTTAGTAGTCGAACGTGCTGTGTCGGACTCGGAGCTCCTAAGGTATAAAACACCTTATTAAGCTGTACGAGTTTAGTGACTCGTAACTAAAATGATCTTTAATTCTAAACATAACCAATCAGTAAAAATGGAAAAAAAGAATTACGGGATCTTAGCGGACCCATGCGGTTCCACCCTCTTCATCCTACCGGTCCGACGCAAGCACATCGACATAGTAAGCCGTTAATAGTTAGCAGCTTATCCCTATCAGTATTATCAGTAAGAGCATAACACCACTTCACAAACAAAGTGGTTTGAAAATGTTTACGCTGCGATAAACGATAAAGAGATTCAATGCTCATCAATCCCGTGCGATGCACTTGACTCCAATAGTAGAGGTGCTGGAATGCATCTATACATGGCTTATAAATTGATTTTTAGTCCATTCCCAGTAACTATGGTGGACCACGGTTTCCCCACGAAATTGGCGGATATAAAAAAAGCAACGGCATGTAGTCATTTCACGATACTATGAAGCCGACTAGCAAATACTGAAAGTAACGTTGTTGCGTGGTGAACGAGTTCTTTCTTCGTTACATTTAACAGTTGGAAATGTTCCGAAAGCATGGAAGAATAACTCAAAACAGCGATTTTTTAAACCACCGCATAAGCAATCGATATATATATATATATATATATGAATGTATGAACACATTCCTACAAGCCACCCTTGATAAGCTGGTACGAGGTTGGTGTATGTTCCTGTTGCTGTTGTTGTCGCTATTGTTCGATGATTGACGCATCGGTGTCTGCCGTAAAAAGTTGCAAATGGCAGTAAATAAAAAGCTAACATTATATGGATATTGTTCCACAAAATACGTTTAGGCTCTGAAGAAAAAGTCGACAAGATGTCATTCAACGAGCCACAGCAACAACAGCAACAACAAAAACTGATACCGACCACGCATCAGCTCAACGAAGCCACCTCGCAAGAGTATATAGACCTGTATTACCTGTATCACTTGTAGCCCTGTTGATCGTCGAGTGACTCGACCGAGCTCCAATAAATCTTCCATTTTTCCCTGTCGCGTGAAAGAGTAGCTCAGTGGGTTCTGCTCGCTCTAGGTACTCGTCGAGCATTATATCTTTCTTCTAGACTTTTCGTGTAGAACTATGACCATCGAGTCGGTGGTCTTCCTACAGTGCGTTTAGCATCCCGAAGAATCCAGTGACCGATCCCTGCCTTTTTCGGGCGACGACTCTATTCGCCCATAAGCTGGAAAAGAATTCGTGTGATCCAAGACCAAGAAGAAAACGTCTAGCTGCATATGACGAGAGCATTCTAAACAAAATTCTAGCCAAACGTGACTAGCGGATTAAATAAGGCCCCAAGCAAAGAGTTCGAGCTGCTTGTCGAAGGACATGGAAGTTGTGCTGAATTCGCCTCATTTCCTCAAGAAAGTTCAGACCGCATCTCCATCACTACCAAGGAGTTGCTCGAAAAGCAAATTGAAGCTTAATCCTAATGCAACACGTTTTGCACAGCTAGTAATAAATGTAAGTTGTAGAGGAGCTTTGCAGGATGACCTACATCGGAAAAGGCAGAAAAAAATATTATTTAAAAGTAACACAAAAAGAAACAGTCCGAAAAAATGTCGTCGGAACTTGTGCGGATATAATGTTGTCAGTTCTGATAAACCACTAAAGCACCCAGCCACTTATGGATATGATATTGGAAAAGTTCTGGACCAACGTTTTCCATTTCACAATCCCGTTCCAAGCCCTAAAATCTTCGCTGGAAAAAAACTACCTGGAATTCTTCCAAGAATCGAGTTCGGATAGAAAACATGAATAAAGGCACATCTCTAGGACCTGGTAATATCACCGCCGACTCATTAGAGCTGGAAGCCACAATATTTACATGTACTTCCCACAAACCACGTACGTACTATCTTCAAAAGTAAAAACTCCCAGACCAGTGGAGAACGTCGCCCACGGTCATTTTGTACAAGAAAGTGGCAAAAGAGATTTTCATAACTATCTTCTGATACGCTTGTTAAGGGAAACAAAAGGCTATAGTCGGTTCATTTCCTTAAATTCCTTTCTATCTATTTCACACGAATCATTGAATTAAGACGCTAATTCTTTAACGTACAGAAAAAAACAAGTGTATAACTAGTACAACTTATCGTCCCGTCGATCGTCATGTGACCCAAGTGTGCGTCACTAAACCTACCATCTCTCCTTCCCTCATACAAAAGTACTTCGTGGGATGGGCTCGTTCTAGAGACCCACTGAGAGCCTACGGTTTTCGTGCAAAACTCTGGCAATCGAGTCCCTAGCCTTCTTACTAATCGTTTAACATCCCCATGAATGCAGTCACAAACGAATCTTCGCTATCGGTTGTCGCTCATACTCATTACGTGTCCGTCCCACACCTTATCTTCGACTGTTTGGTGTATAGAACGGCATCTTTGATTTCTGACCGTTGACGCACGTCGGAGCTTCGGATTCTATCCCTCATTTGCGTTATACGGGATACTCTAGATTCCGACTACGCGTTCAATAACGATGGGTGGTCTTTCATCCTGCTTACGCAACGACCAGACTTCTGACGCACACGTTAACGCAGGTAGAATCGTATACTCAAAGTGGGCATGGAGGTTCATGCTTTCGACCTCACTGTATCCTCGATGTTTTAAAATCTTCCAAAACCGCTCGCTTCCTCCTAGTCAACTCAGGAGCTAAACCGTTCATCATGTTGACTTCTTGACCACGCAGCTGGAGTATTAAGAAATACTCATTCTTCCCACCAGCGCTTTGAAATTCAAGGTCAGCTAGTATCCGTTCCGCCTGGCTAATGATTGGTGCTCTCGGAACTATAACATCAGCAAAGCGAAGACAGTGTAATTATCGACCATCAATTTTCATAAACACAAGTGTTCAGAAGAAACACATACAAATATGCATATATTTATAATTCTAAAAAGAGCAGAACAATTATTCAAGGCAAGATCAATCACCTCTCAATGAGAAACCGTATGAATCCGAAACGCGGTGGAGATTAAATAAGATTACACATGTAATTAAAATACCATACACCACACAATGGTAATAAATTTACCTAAAACAGATAGAGGAAGGGCTAATTTGGTGCTACTTGCGATATTTACGAGAACGTGGAGTGAGGTCTCCGACGAAGTATTCTTGAACGTCTTCGTCTAACCCGCAAGGACGGGCGAATTCTTGCCCGCGCTCATGAATCCACTTGTTTGAAACCTACAACGGAAAAAAATGAGAAAAAAGTTTTACAAACAAATTTATGGAATTCCTGTTAAAATTCCACGCTTGTGAAGAGGATGTCTTTTCAACAATAGCCCTAGACTTTTTTATCGCGTTCTGTTTCACGAAATTCCCATTTTCTAATCGTTTCGGCTTCGAAAATATGGGTCTTCACAAAGAAAAAGCCAAAAAAGAAAGTATGCTTTGCCGGTTCCAAAAAGTTGACAATTACCACCCTCGAAAAAGGATGTATTGTGCTGCCAAAAATCGACAGATTACGGTGGGTTCTAAATACTTTAAATGACCTTAAAATACTACCAGTTCAGATTTTTTCGTTTAAAGCTGAAATGAGGAATTATTTTCGAGCAAGCATGCAGTGAAGTCAATGTCGTCGCGTAAGTGTTGATACACGAATCACCGCACTGCTTAACGATTACAGGTGCCCAATCTCGGGAAAACCTGGTTTGTAGATTCAACTTGTCAAGAAATCAATGAAAGTCAGCTTATGTTCGAGCACTGTGCAAGACGTACCCATTTGACCCCAAGGAGAACTGGACAGGCTGCGTGTCGAGTACGCAAATCTCCCTCGCCACTTCTCATCAGATTATACCAGAACAACGCATCATACTTGGACGGGAAGACGGCTGTGCCCAAGTTGTTGAACACGGTCGCCCCTCCACGTTCCGGCTTAGTCATCTGAAAAACTCCACTTCCCGTGATTAGCACTGCTAACATTTCAAAAACAGTCATTAATTTTTCCACTTAATGAACATCTACACAGTCAAAAGCAAATCAAGAACATGATAGTGACATCTTCTATTAGTCCTCGTTCTATTCCAAATACTCAGATAATAACCGACAACAATTTTCTCTTACGAATAAGTGTAGCTGTAGCTTACATAAAATAACACCGTGGCGAGTCTATTTCCAGTCTTGAGGCTCTTGAACGCATTCTTTTCTTCTTTCTATAAAATCCAACTGATATTTAATGAGACACTTACATAGAATAATACTGTAGCGATGCGATTGCCATTCTCTCGGTATGGCTCCCTTTCGCCTCTCTAAAACGGACCTGATTCAAGAAATAAAAGAGGACTGAAGTGTTGCTGGCACTATTTGGCTATAAGCAAACGATAATGCGACCTAGTTAAATTTAATTAACACATTCGCGACGAAGCTGGTTTTTCAAAAACGACATCATAACTCTTTCATAACAGAGGAAAAGGAGAAGATGAGCACTCTACAGATTTATAGACAAAACTCTGCTCTGAAACTCTGAAACTCGACGTTAAGTTCGTGTTGCGCTCAAACTCTCAAACATTCGACACGAAATCAAAAGTTTTTAAAATTCCTCACGAAAGCTATGGGAACACCATCGCGCCCTGTGGAATTAATTCCGTCTCTCGAATTGAATTTGAGATCGAAATATTAGGCTGCACAGAAATTAATGTTCGACTTAAAATTTCATTGTTCTTGCATATGCGCGTGTGGCGCAGTGGTCGGAGCCGCCCTCCAACACACACGTGGAATCGATCCTCGCGCCCATGGTCCACCAAGCCTTCCATCCCTCCGGGTAAATTGGTACCAGATCTGTCTGGGAGAATGACAGCACGGCCTCGATACATCACTAGGCCATCGCGAGTCATTGTAAAGGCCAATTTTTTAGACCTGCATGTTTTCTCGCCAGTTTTTTTTTGAATGCTGCACTACTATATGTTATTGCAAAGCATGTTTTATACAATTTCGCTCTGTATAATTGGAATCCAACATAAATTATGCTTTTGTCAAATTTTTCATGTGATATAGCAATTTCGACAAATCCACTTCTACGCACTTCGACGACCGCAGTGCAAACGGCTTGACGGGTAAGACATAGGGGCTATGTTAGGTGTTAAATAACGCACAGTGAATATTGTCGCGGCAAATTTGACCACGTATGCGCTTTTGCTACCGACCCTGATGAATTGAAGCCTTTGATAGAAGTAAACACATACACAACGAAAACGTCGTTTTCTTGTTCAGCAATCGCGAGGTTTTTAAACAGGGGAGAGTTCGTGGTTATCCCTCGTCAGCTGGATGTTGAGATAACAGAGGAACATCTTAGTGATGCTACCCTCTATCGCCCATCCTCTGAAAAGGAATATAAAAGTCAATACCGAAAGCTAAACAATCAATGGGTCAGTGTGGCAAAGGCTGCGGGTTTAAAATTATCGGTTATTTCGCGCTTCAAAATCGACAAACCAACATGTCCCGTCCTATACCTACTTATTAAAACACATAAGTTGGTATCACCTGATGATCATGGGTCAACCAATCCGTCATCATTCAAGGGTAGACCGAACATCAGCTGTGTAGACGGGCCAACGGATATAATAACCTGGTTTTTAAACCTGATACTTACCCAGTTGCTTAACCACATTCCAGCTCACGTCACAAACACCCAAATGTTCCTACAGCGTCTACGTAACGCGTCTCCTAATAACGCGTACGTGATGGAGTCTTTCGACGTTACCGCGCTGTACACCAAGGTGTCGAATGACTCCGCAATGCAAGCCATCTTCGAACTTCTTGTTGAACATGAAGGACGAACAAATATGCATGGGTTGTCCATCCAGCAGCTAATGGCCCTCTTAAAAGAGTGCCTAAGCTGCTCGATTTTCAGATGGTCTGGGAAATACTACGCTCAAATAAGGGGGCTGGCAATGGGACAGCGACTGGCACCAAGTCTTACCATTGCGTTTATGTCTAGAGTGGAAGCCTCCGCTCTCGGTCTTCGCCCGCTACTCTACTGCAGAAATGTAGATGATTGTTTTGTCGACTTCTCTACGCAAGAGATGGACAAATGCTTTGAATTATTGAACGAGCAGTCTGAGTACATAAAGTTCACCGGGAGAAACCGAGAAAAAAACTGGCTTTCGTTTTTGAACGTTCAAATAAACTTATCAAGGAGCGGTTACTTGACAAAGTGGTACCGAAAGTCAAGTAACAAGAACATCCTCGTTTATTTCCTATCTTCCCACCCTTCACACACAAAACGGCGATTGTGAGAAACATGTTTCGAACAGCCACCTCTGTGTGCACTACCAGGGAACTAAACGAAGAGTCACGCGACTTGGCTCGGCAAATAGCCATCTCCAATGGCTACGAAATAGTAACCCCACGAGATAAGTTTAGAAGGAGAGCGACGCGTCCACGCGAAACACTTGCCCAGAAGAAAACCCCTTTTATGTTACCTTTTGTAAGCGATGAAGTAAGCGTAGCTATAAAACGATGCTTAAGAAGGGCAATCTAGAGATCTAGAGGAATCGGTGGCAATAGTTGAACTACCACCGGCTACTCTACGTCGTCAATTAGTTCGTAACCGCCTGTATGACCGCCTATTTGAAACAATAAATTGCGTAATTTGCCCTTACGGCAGGGATTGCATGAGTTCAGGTACGATATACCTGATCTCTTGTAATAATTGCGGAGATGAGTATATTGGCGAAACGGGCAGACCTTTGTGTATCCGTATAAAAGAACACCTAGATGGCAAACGAAAACTAAGACAAAGTACCCCACTAGGCACGCATAGAATACAAAAGCATAGCGGAGACAATTTTGAAGTAAAAGTCAATATCCTTGCACGGGAGACTAAAACACCAGCGCGAAAACTTCTTGAGGCATTTTAGACAAATGCCAAAAACCCTACAATGAATAGCAGGGAGGAATGCCCAGAAGTCATACGTGACCTGACCCCGTATGTTCGCATCAATTCCTGTTGTGTGATGGCGCAGTCATCAACCATATGCGACTATAATCAGCTGTTCCATACTTCCTCATTCGAAGTGACGAAAAAGCGGTGGGTTCTTCGAGAAGCTGTTGATCATGTAATTACCAGAGAGTTTTCCGTCTTTTTGTAAGTGTTGTTGAAGCGTTTGGCCTAGTAGATTGTATATCAGTATACCCTTCCAGGCTCTGAAGAAGGCGATACTGCCGAAACGTCAGCCAGTGTTGTATTGTATTGTGTTTTTCTATGGAAGTAAATGTATAGTGTATAAAAACCTCGCGATTACTGAACAAGAAAACGACGCATTCATATTCCAATACCGAGGTTAATAGAAAGTCGATCCTATGAGTACATACACAACTGTTCACGAACATACAGAATTGCTCAATGTAAGGAACTCAGGTGTTCCAGAGCACTAAAGATAAAGGAAAGTAGAAGAAACTCGACACATGGATGTCATACAAATTGAACGACAATAAAAGAAATTATTGCTCTGAAGCATCCGAGGCATCAGTAGGGAGTGAGCTGCCGAGGGCTTTATCCCTTAGGTTTTTGTCGTCGGTGCTTCTGCAGAACCAGAAAGACCCGTTTCTAAACCGTACTGTGATGTATGACGAAAAATGGATCGTCTACGACAACTGGCGACGATTGGCTCAGTTGTTGGACCACTATGAAGCTCTTTGGCATTTCGCAAAACCGAAATTGCATCAAAAGAAGGTTGGTCATGCAGAGCGATTGGTGGAATCCAGCTGATTTGACCCATCATACCCTCCTGAATGTTGGTTGAATGATTACGGTGAAGAATTCTTCCTGTGAGTCGATGAAATGCACCTGAAACTTCTATGGTCGCACCGCTTAATGGTCAGCAGATAGGGACGAACAATTTCCCACACAATGCACGACGCACTGGTGACGCTGCAGAAGCTGAACGAGTTGGGCTGCGAAACCCTGTATCATCCACCACACTCCACAGATTTCCCTCCTACCGATTATCAACTCTTTATGCATCTCGATAATTTCTTATGTTTTAGAAACCAATCCGACATCGAAACTACTTTTAATCACTTCACTTCCTCCAATACTCAAAAATTTTGGGCACCTAGTATAATCAAATTTCTTTCTCACTAGGAAAAAACGTATAGATGTCAATAGTTTCCATTTCGAACAGAAAAGCTTATTCTCACCTGAGACATGACACTTTAAATACAGAAGCTGAAATTCGCCATTAACGTCCTAACAGCCTAATACTGCCTTTGACGAAAAAACGTGAACAGACGTTTCGTGGGTTCCCGAAAATCAGGGTTCCATAGCGGCAAAATATGAGAAATTTCATTTTTTTGCAAGGATTTGCAGATCCCAACAGTTTTTAAAGCAACTAACAAAATTTAGTACGAGCTGAGATGAGTTGAAAGCGGTTACTACTTCCGCACTGTATGACTTTTGTAAAGGTCACGTAGTCGCGAATGTGTTAATGAACAATTAACTGAAACTAACATGAAGATTAGTACGGTGCTTTTCTATGTATTGAAAAACATGCAATGAAATAAAACGCCACCAAGAACCCAAGAAAATTCCACAAGCATGAAATTGATCAGAAGATAAGAAGCCGTGTTTGCGTCTACAATGACCCCATAGAAACTTGTCGCAAAAATGTCGCGTGCAGAGTGATGTGTAATCCTAAGAAAGATTCGAATGCTCTATGTTGAATCTTAACCCATTCACGACCTTGCGGACTCTTCGTTTCATAAATCGCGACAATTTCTAGACAACAACAGCACTTGAGAATTTCAAACCTAGATAATTTTACAAAAGATATTTTTCGAGACAATTCTAAAGATCTAGAAAAATTCTTAAAAATCTAAAGATTTTCAAATACTTGATACTTAATACTTGAATGGCCCCTCCTCATTGATTGTGCGGGCCCTAGCACAATCTCCATTTTTCGGATATTTGCTGGATAAGCCATTGTGGTTCCCTAGAATCCCGAGGTCAGCCTGGCCAAAGTCTGTCCCAGGTCTTCACCACCACAGGCAGTCGCAGCACTTGTGCATCAGAGCGAGATTTGCCACCATGCGACTTTGATACCAGGACGGTGGTGGATCTTGGTATTGGTTTACTCTTAGCTAGGCTTCCTGACGGAAACGTCGGACTCCTTCTCAGCCCGAGAGACCCTGCGATGGGATGGATCCCCCGCTGTACATCGCAGTCTGACACCCAGCAACACCTCCCAGTTACGGTGAAGCGGCAAACCATTGGGAGGTTTTTAAAGATTTTCAAATATTACTTGAATTTTTCAAGTTTAACATAATACAGCGTTAGTAAAACACCTCAATTTCTTAACAGCAACAAAAACAACTGCCAATGTCAAACAGGAACTCTGTGAGAGAACGGTATCCTTCTGAACGAAATTCCGCCTGCTCAGCTGCTTCGCTATTTGAAACACCATTCTTTATGAAAGAATGGAAGAAAGAAAACCCCTAGGCTACAGAAAGCTAGCATTTCAAATTCAATGTGACTTTTTAAATCGTGTGAAGATACCTTTGTTGTAACGGCTTCTAATTCTGATTATAAACTTTGCAATGAGAACAGATAACATTTTTGTCTGAAGGTGAAAAGTTAACCAATTTTCCGCCACCAAGTGACTCACATAAGATTCAATTTATCGTCAATGAGTTAACGTTTCAGAAACGTTTTTTAATTTTAACGTTTCATCTTATCAGGAATAATTTCCTTCTGAATCAAGAAATCCAAAGTCTAGTGGAGATTTAGAATTTAGAGAGTATGCACAATCACATCGCTCACCGTTGACATGTCAAAATGAGGAGCGTAATGGCCTCCAATGCCATAATTTGCTATCTGTAATAGCGAATAGCTTGAGAAATATCAAAACAGAAACTGACTTGAGCAAAATCGAAATGTGGATCGTAATGACCACCAAGACCATAGTTAGCCACCTAAATGCATCAAATCTCATTACCTTTAGAGTGTTAATCAATACCTCAACGAAGCATGGTCAAACTCGTACACAAATGAACTGCGTGTATTGTGTAATCATAACGCACAAATGACCATAACCATTTTCGTAGCCAGCCAACAGATAAGCGGATCCCTTCCTATTTATAGTACAGTACCCTATTGCCTAATCTTGACTTACGTTCTAGAATAAATCATCCCGCTCGCTTCCTCATCTGAGGGATGCCCAGCTAAGGAACGTCGGACAAGAAAAGTATTAGCCTATTAAGGAAAAACGACCACCGTTCATACTGGATAGTCAACTTTCTCCAAGAAGTTATCTTATTGTTGTTGTTGTGTGATGATCTTTCAAATGATGTGCTTCTTTTCCAGGTTAACACCGGTAAGGGAAAATGAAAACCTGCAAATCTTCGGATGTGTCCTGGTTGAGATTCGTCATGTCATGAATTCGCTTGTTGACACGAGCAATCACCGGATGATCTTCATCTTTCAACCAGGCACTGAACAAATATAACGGCAAATGTAAAGATGATCTCTCAATATGTTAATAACAAGTGGTGTTAACTAGTATTTCATCTAGAAATAGACTGAAATCTAAAACACAGAACCAATAACCTAATAAATGTAGTAAAGGAATGGTCACTGTAAAAAAAAACCAGATCTCTGATAATAACCTATACCTTTTACTAATACGATAGCTTGCAGTTTCTAGTGCACCCGTCACAGCATTCTGCACAGTAGCACGTCTCAGCTGAAACCAATACACCACAATCATGCAGGTCAGGTAAAACCGACGACAGGAAGCGCAGGCTCGCACCGTAACGCTTAGCAACATGCATTATTTAAAAAAAAAAGGGCCAAGCATATCAAGATGAACGACGACACACAGGAGATGAATTTGTTAAAAAGTATTATCGCACTTTCCACGCTATGGGAATACCTTTTGGAAATTCGATAACTGACAGTAACCAGCGAACCATCCGAAGCCTTCACTGTGGCACGCTCCAGCTCAAAACTTATTAAAACTTCGGAAAAAAGAATAAACTTCTTGGTTTCTCCGTCTCTCTTTCTGTGTGTAACAGTCTGTCTCTTTTTTGACTGAGCCGCCAAAAACAGATTATCGAATATATGTTTTCATATTTCACTCCTTCTACGTTTACTACTATCCTATTACCACTATTCTGAATAATGAAGATTTAGAGTTTAAAAAAACCTTCAAACGGAAAAATAACAGAAGGAAATAACCGATTTTTCTCTTATGGCAATATTGACTAAAACAAAGCAATTTTCGTGCAATTTTAATAGAGTTATAATTGGACAAATGACCATTGTTTAACTAACGCCTAAAGCAAAAATAAAAACTCACCTTTGGGGTGGCTACCGCTTTGATGACCTCCATTTCATAATCGGACATCACCTCTTTAAAGAGTACAGCCAGTGGTTCAAGGCGCAGAATTTCTACTTTGATTGGAGCCAGTTTTAGGAACGGTTTGTCCATCTAAGGGTGGATAGTGCATAAACAGAACAAGCTGTAGGAATCATAGCAAGCAGCACCTTGAGATAGCAGTAAAGCTCCTTTTCCACTTCTGGAGGTGTAGCAACAGTTTCTCCACGACACAATGCCTCATAGGCATCGCGCTCCACAATACCATCATTCTCTACCCTCTAGAAAAACAAGGATTAAGAAACTCTCTTTTTCAGTATCTCTTCCTCCTGTCAAACGTTTAATTACTTAAGATTGAGTGTGCTTCGCTTAGCTCTAATCAAGACGAAAAGATCGGGGACTAATCGTAGTGAAAACTCAAGAAAGACCTAGCGATCCCTCTTGAGATTCACAGCAGACGCTTACGTTCTTCGTGAAGATAACCCCTATCTGAGTCCCAAAGAACTTAGATAAATCCCAAATTATGCAACAAGCAGAATTCCGCAAAGGATTTCGATTCATGGACCATATTAAAATAATCTACAGAGTCACAGAGGTCTGCGCGGAATATCATTTTGCCTTTCTTCTAACTTAGGAAACTGCGAAAAAGCGATTGTACAAATCAGTGTCATCCTGTTCGACTCAGTTGAGCAAAGCATATATGTGTGCTCTCCATAGAAACGGTTGGTGACTCCAATAATGGACGACACATCATTTCACCGACCATTCATTATTTCAATTGGTAAAAGCATTACACACACAAGAGGTAGACAGCGCAACGGTAATCATACCTTTCACTTCATCACGAGTACTGTGCTGGTTCGACCTCGCACTGGGCTCATCAAGTCTCGTCAATCTGGGGTCGGAAAATTAGCACTAAACTTTTTCGAATCAACTCATTCTCTCCTATCGACATAACAGCGCCATAGAACGGCCACGACCACTGCACAGAAAACACCAGTGAGATACAGATGATTCTTGCAGAAGACATCAAAGAAAAGAGAAAAACAATAGGACTGAGCATAAAAAGGATGAGAACCCAGTTCACACCGCTCCAATGACGTAACATTTTCTAAAGTGCTATGCACCACATCAACCAAGGCCTCTGCCCTTTCTTCCAGACAGTTTTTACACCAGCGGTCCTGTAGGGCTCGAAAACTAGTTGACGCTCCGAGATTTGCACATATCTCAGCATTCTCGTGGTTGCACTTCCCATAATACCTGGCCACGGAAAAAGTAGGCAGTAAATGAAAGTTAAATACTGGTATCTTCTAAAGTGTTATTTTAAATTTTAGAACTAGTTTGAACCCAAGTTCTCGAAAACATAAGAGGACAAAATTAAAATTTCTAGTTTTTAAAGCTAGCGAGACGACCGCATCTTAAACTATGCGTTTGGGGAGAACATGATGTCTCACTAGAAGAAATCTTGTTTATTAAGTGTTTTCGCTGCCCAGTGGACGCGCAAGGCGCAGTGGACCGAGGCGCCCTGCAACACACACGTGAATCGATCCCAGCGCCTATGGCCCACCAAGTCCTCCATTCCTCCGGGGTCGGAAAATTGGTACCAGACCTGTCTGGTAGGATAGCAATACTGGCTCAATACATTGGCAGGCCACCGCGAGTCATTCTAAAGGCGAGATATGCATTTAATCAGCTCCATACGATGCTTAATGAAGTCGAATGCATGGCCCAACACTCAGCGATTGATCAACGCCAAAAGCTTTATCCTTTTTTCTTCGTTGCACACAATACGAGCACCGACGGAGAAAAGCGGAGATTACGTTCAGTGAGCTTCAGAAAACCATAAATTCATTCTGTTAGATTAAGAAAATTTGTATCCTCGTAAACAAATGTGCTATCTACTGTTTTCAATTCAATCAACGCTATTCACTCACTATGAACTGGAATATATTTGTTTAAAGCTCAAAAATGGAATTATTTCCAGGCACCTCCGCGCTAAAACTAATGCGTATGGTTGTGAATGTGTTAAATTTGTAGTAGCAGACCGTTCAGTTCGGATTCCTCACTTTTTTGAGTGCTCTTTAATCAAATGTCGGCATTTTTTCCACAAACACTATTTAAAAAAATCCAACTCACCTTGTTCACTACTGGTGGCAGCTCCCCCTCCATATCTTTCCCATCCAACATATCTTCGTACCACTTCACATTGCCTGTACAAATAAACTACTTCAAAGGTCGAGATGTATTTGTAAAAATCTTCGTAAGAATGTTTATTAGGATCGGTTTGCGCACAATATCTTTTAAAAAGATATGGATAAGATATGGATATAAGATATGCATCCTTTGTTGATGATATATAAAAAACACAAGGCTTGCCTCTGGCCCTTGGATGATTGGGTGCAATGGCAGCAAGTCGTCTAGTGAGAGTAAGAGCGCGACGAACATTTCCTTGCTGATAAAGGGCATAAGCAAGGTACTCAAGAACTTCGGCTTCGTCAATTGACTTTGGATTTTCATTCTCCAACTGAAACTGAGGTAAGATACTAAGATGGATGCTCAATGTTTAAATAACTATAATGACGCTGAGATTTTGCAAAACTCCGAACCGAACATGTCTGGGGTGGAGATCGAGCATGATATTGCACTCGAGACTTTGCTTTATCGCTCTATACGTATGATACTATTTACTGTGTGTTACTATGGTCGATCGCTCAAATACACTGCTGACGGCATTTAGAAGTATTTCGCAAAATATGTTGATCTTATTTCGGTATTTTTATATCTACACATTCCATGTAATAGCAATAGCGACTAAAGTCAAAGAACAGTGGATTGTTAAGTACGGAAAGGCTTTTGCAGTTCAACCTCCTCTAATTTGACCTGCTTTTGACTGGCTACCGAAAGAATATGCATAGTGTAGTAGGAAAAGTTCTGGAACCCACGGAAACGGAATTAAAATGGACACCAAAGTGTCCATATTGCCCAGTCCATTCGCACCACCACGTACGAGGACTATAGTATCCATACCGCAGCCAATGAATTAATATTTGCCTGTCTACATGTATTTTAGCTTTTTCATTGAGTTAGTATGCCATCAGCGAAAAGTGCTTTCTTTCGCTCTTTGCCAGTGTAATTTCCGTTAATATTCTCATCAAAATATTTGTAAACAACAAGCATGCTATGATTGTTACAAAGCGGCTGCATAGACGTAGTGCAGTAAACACAAAAACGTCTCGCTTTTCACCTGTCGCCCCTCGTCCAGGAATAACGCGAGCAGACGCTATTAAGCATTCTATTCCTCAGTGCCATGTGCAAGAGCATCCGAGTGGGATGTGCTCGGACTCGTTGAGCATCATAACTTACATCTAGTGCTTTCGTTAAAACCTTTGACAATCGACAAAAAACGATTCACCAACAGCTCATATCCATCGGTTGTCGTCCATACACATTAGTTCCCCGGCGGATGTTCGACAATATGGCGTGTAGAAAGAAATTTTCGATTTTCGACCGTTGACATTGAGGTCGCTTGCGTGATACGAGATACTTCTATTATCGTCCTTCCAACTGCGCATTCCATAACGCTTAGTGACCTTTCAACCTGCTTAAGTAGCGACCAGGTCTCTGACGCATATATTAAGGTAGGGAGAATTGTCGACTCGAAAAAGTTAGAACGGAGGCGCATGTTATTAGTCTTCTTACTATATCCTCTATGCTCTTGAAAGCTCCCCAAGCCGCTCGTTTCCTCAACTCTGGAGATAAACCATACACCATGTTGACTTCCTGACCTAGAGGGAAGTAGCTAGGGCATTTAGAGACACTCATTCCGCTGAGCATGAACAGGCCACACGAAACCAACCTGCTTCTCATGAACATTGTTTCTGCGAGATTTAGTCGAAGATCAATCTTCCTACTGGCGTTATCAAAGTCTCCAAGCATTCATTCCCTTTGGCTAATGATTGGTGTTATAAGAATGATGTCATCAGTTAAGCAAAGATGGTTTAATTGCTGACCATCGATTTTCACTCCCATTTTGTTCCATTCCAGTGTTCGCACGACGTTCTCGAATGTAGCATTGAACAATCTTGGCTAGATGGTAACGCCTTGCCTAACTCCTCTTTTACCTCGACGTTGTTGCCGTTGTAGAATAGTGTTATTTTGGCTACGAAATTTTTATATAGCTCATAAAGAATCTTTACAGAATGAGTAGCGGCGCCCACGTCGTCCGTGGCTTCCATGGCTGCTTCAATCTTAACTGAATCAAAAGTTTTCTCTAAATCGATGAAAGTGAAAGAAGGCAGTCTCTTGTACTATCACTATACTTAAATGAGTCTAGTTATCGTGGGGCTTTGGTACTTATACTGAATCGCTTTTGAAACATTACTTGCTCACATGGCTGCCCTCCATCCACTGCTCCGTGAACCCTATTTAGGACGAATCAAGTGAGAAGTTTATAGATCACAGACAGCTAGTAAACTAGGCAATAACTCCCAATTTCCTTCAGATCACCCTTTTTGAACAATAATAGTATCCTGCTAGTCTTCCATTGAAATAGAATAAGAACCTTGCAATTTCTCAGGTAACGAGTGAACAGCCGAGCCAGTGTGTTTACGAGGACTGGCAGAAGGTTCTTCAAGTGTTCAGATCTTATCCTGTCTCGACTTGGTGCTGTTCGATTTTTCACCGACGAAATACCATGAAGAATTTGGAACAGAGAACCGGTAAGACGACATATTTATCCACCTTTATTTCGTATGAGGGAACGAGAACGTGGCTATTGAAGAAATCCGAGCAAGTTAGTGGAAGACTTTCTCTATGGCTTCCTAGAAGTGTAATTGTTCCGTGTGGGCGTTGGAGTGCAATCATCTTGTTTTTGTACTTGGCGAAACTTCGGTGGGCTCTGCGAATGATTGTCCGAGCCTCTCTAGCTTCGACCACTACTGCTGCACTTCTCTCTTTAAGGTCTTCTTTTATCCCCATTCTGCACTGTTTTGCAAGTTGGGACATGAGTTAGCGGTTGTTCGTAGCTCTTACGATTCCACGTTGGCATAACAGCTCGAATATTTCTCGAGACAGAAGTCTTTTTCTGACTATCGAACTCTCTGCTTTCATAGATGCTGACGAGAAGATTTTAAATAATCCAGTCTTATTTCTCCTCGGTGTTATTAATAACGGCATCCAAGAGGCGACTAGTGATCTGAACAAGCTTCAGTTCACAGTGGTTTTGCGAATTCGTTTTTCAACCGTAGCAGCTTTCTGTTCATTCCACGGAAAATGAAATCTTGAGCGATGGAAGCGAGCGTATAATCTCACGTAGAATTTTAGGAAAACAGCGAAATCGGTTAGGTAATACCTTCGATTTACTACGATGTGTTCTGTTTCGTGATGGTTCTCTCCAATGTGATGACTCCTATAATTAGGGCTGAGATCGAGGCTTCTTGATTTGTGATTTACCATGAATGAATAGTCTTGGTTGTTATGATAAATATAAACTGTCGCTCACCAAGTTCGTTCCATTCAAACTCATGGGCCCCAATATGGCGTTCTTCAAGCCCTGTTATAGGTCAAATCATAGCGTTAAAACCTCCAATGATGACCTCATGGTCTATGATGTCGCTATGAGGGACAAGAATATGAGCCCCGTAAAACAAAGCGTTCTCAATTCTACGAATCCGTCTGACAAACCTTTTCGTTAATGATAGATATAACTTTAACAGAAGATTACACTTTAAAGTTCTGTCTCTAAAATAGATATTGCTACCTTATTCATCGCCGCTTGCATCCATGTCAGCGTGTGATAATAGTCTCTCTCATTGTACGCAGCACGTCCAACCTGACCGAAAAGATTATTCTCAGTGAACAAACTTTGACTCTTGTAATATACAATGGACTATATAAGGATACAAATCCAATCACTTAATTGCGGGCTTTTTATACAGAGGAGCAGAGGCACTACTGCGAAAACGTTTTGTGGTCTGTTACCTCTTACAATTACTTCTCACGTTCGCTGAGTTTAAATTTTTACAATGACTTATTAGCTTATCCAAAAAATTATAGTCAATTTGCTCATCTACTCTATTCGCACATGCCTCTGACTACAAAAAGTGTTAATAATCAAAACAAAAATCAATAAAATACGCATCTTTTTCAACAAAGTGCAAGTTGACTTAATTCCATCATTTCGAAATTCAACTTAGCAGAAGCTATGACACTTCCAAAGCCATTCCCGGCACCAGTTTGTTCTGCTACACATTTTTTCCGCAAACAATTCTTGACGTGCTTGGGAGAGTAGGTGATTGGAGGTTCTCTCGCGAATTGTAATTTTCATTATGCGACATATGGTCGATGAAGAAGGATTAATTCCTTTCGATTTAACAAGGTGGTCAGCAACGTTAAGCTGCTGCAACTTGTCAATCTCCTTGAAGTACTTAACTCGCGTAGCGGTTCCGCACCACAATCTGTGGTGATAAAAACTCAACCTAACGTCTTTCTACGAAAATGCCGTCTCAGTAAATATTACAATGCTTACCACAGTGAGGCTGAGATATTTGCAAAACTTGGACCTCAGGTCAGATCTAAACCCGCGATTACCTTTTCTCGTGATCACGTGTTCCCCAATGCACCACGGATTGTTTAGAAATACCATTATAATAAAACACTCCATAAACACTGATTACCTCAAACGAATCGTGAGCGCTCAATTTATGGGCGACCTTCTCACCCATGATGATACCATTGGAGAGATCAGTGGTATCAAGACGATAAACGTCTTGAAGTCTAAGAATTGCCGTCGCTGCGCCAGACAAGTCCTCTTCTTGCGGAAATTTGATCTGACACGAAATGTTATTGAGATTATTAGATTAGAATGTTACTGTTATTGTTATTGAAATGTTATGTAATAATGACACCGATTTCTGCACGGTGGATTGTCCGGAAAAAGCAAGCTATTACTACAGCACAACCACGAGTATCAACAACAGCTCTGTATATATGAGTATCGCCGTGTGAGTATGCTTCGTTCAAGCGATGCTTCACTAAAGAAGACTCGGCTCGATGAGACGACGAAGACACCATATCGAGAACGCGGACGGCTGTGGACATCGATTCGGATCATCGGCTCCAAGGAAGACGAAAACGTCGAAACGTTAGCCGAATAAACATTGAGAACAAACTCGTGTTAGTTTATCAATGAAGGTACACTGATCATTTATACCGAAGTTCAAGGAAAGTCAGTCTACTATACGTTATTGAGATAATTATGTAGTAATACAGAAGTAATTCTGACTCTATAAAACACGTGGACAGAAAATTCGTTTAGCAACGTTCAACCCAGCCTCGACTTCTCGAGTAAAGCATATGAAAACGCTGGTGAAAACTCATATTCAAAAATAAATGGCCTGGTTATATCACCGCTCTAATAATTGCCAACAAGTGAAGAAAATAAACAACTGAATGGAATTAGTTTTACTGATGGCATCGACTCAAGCAAGTGGTAAAAATTAACATTTGCGATGTACACCACAACCCTAAAATCATACTCCTCCTCAAGGCGATAAAAGGATAAAAGCGTTTGTCACTGATGTCTATGAGAGGTGAGTGACGGATTCGAATTCACCAAACACCGTTAGGAGAATGTGAATGCATATCTGGTTTATACGGTGATTTTCGGTGGTTTGTCGATGTACCAAGTCAGCTCCGCATGCTTCCCAGAAAATACCACTACCAGTTCGCCGACGCCAGGAAGATGGAAGCCTTCAAGAGCTCTAGGTACGGAGTCGAACCAAAGATCTCGTGTGCATCGCTGGGCAAAGCTAACCACTGCACTAGACCCACTCTCCTTCAAGGGGTTATGAATAATTTTCTCCCATTCTCAACGTAAAAGCTAACATGTCCATACAAAAAATTTCGAAAGAAACCGTTAATATACGCTATATGGGCCGGTGACAGCGTAGTGGTTAATGATGTAGTTGATCAGGAGGCAAAGGCGCTAGCTCAATCCCCACCCCAACGCTCTCCCCCAATCTCTTTTATGAAGGGATGCCTTGTTTATAGCCATATAGCCATAGCCATACTGTTTATAGCCACAGCTGTTTATAGCTGTGAAAACACCTTAGTCCTGCTGTCTTCAAGACTGCAAGGAGAATTGACTTGACTAGCACTCTACGACATTCATAAAAAAGACGAAATCCTTAAGCACCAGCTGAAACAACATGCGAAGTGCTGTAAGACCACTATGGACGATGAATGCGAGGAAAAAATACAATGCTAGAAGTGCTGGGGTCTGCACAGTAGATGTAAGCACTGGTCATGTAAAATGGAAAATAAATAAATGAATATATATGTATATGTATCAAATAATTGTGCTCTTCAATATCGACCTTCACTTAAGCTCGATATGGATAATCAGTGTCTTAGTTTACAAAACCAACGCCTTCGTCAAGCCGCAACGGTTTTGATTCGAGTGTTCACAACACCCAACTCAATGTGGGCCTTCATGCTCGCGTAAGTCGAATCCAGTGGAGCGGAACACAGTAAGTTTTATAACTTTTATTAATGCAACAAAATATTAACTATACTTTCCTCACTTTTTTGGTGCTTTTATAGAACAATAAAAAATACTGATTTGACGCATCGGTAAGTTCATGGAAGTCTCTGTATAAGTCGTGTGTCCATTCACCTTCACGATGCTTAGTGGAACTGGAAAGAACGGGCCTCCTTAGGGAATTAACGCCGAATGACCTTTACCCTTTACTCTTTCTTGTTACAATAGAAGCACAGTGTTCATTTAGATACAATTTTTTCATTTTTATGATTCTCGAAGGAGAACGATATTTCAAATTATACAAATATCTAACATATATATATATATATATATATATATATATATATGCACACGTAGTTGTATAAACACATACATATGTATATGTATTAGTATATATATGTATTTATACACATATATATACATACATATATATCTACATATATATATATAGGTATATATATACATATGTATCCATAAAGTGCTCACCTGACTTTGAATGCGATTATCTGTAATATTTTTAATGAACTTTTCGGCCTTGTTTGTGCGCATTATATCTTCCACCTGTAATAAAATGAATGAATAGTAATTCTTTCTATCTGAAAAGAACACTTGCATTTTTTGGATAAAAAATTCCATTTGGACCAAGTATCTGCAAATCTGCGCTGTCTGCTTACTTGAGTGACGTAGCAAAAGTGATAAAACAGGGATAAACTGACAATGCCACTAAATTTCTAGATAGAATAAGATAACAACCGGTATAAAAGACGTTTCTGGTACCTTCTTCCACTCAGAAGTGAGTCGTTTAATAAGCAAATATGCATTTATAGGATTCGTCACGAAGTCCGGTCCGATGTCGGTCGCGTATTTGTTTCGCATCACGTACTCGTCAGCGAACCTTAAAACAGTGAAATAGATAGACATAGGTCAAATAAATAAAAGCAGCTGTTTTGAGCGCAGCTACAACCATCTTAATTAAATTTAATTAATTATAGAGCGAAATGAGAATGGAGTAAAACTAATATCGTATAAGACATTGCAAATTTACTCACACAACCAATGAAACTTCTCGATGGTTCAAACGCCCATCTTGACATTATCTTGCATATTGCTGAAACATCTTTACTCATCCAACTGGATATGTGGCCAGGTTTCAAATATCACGTAGGTTCGAGCAAAACATCCATTTACTATGTACAATGCTGGATTGGCAAGCTTCTTTTGTGAAACCCAACATAGACGTGCTACTATGCCGTTAACAACCGCTGTCGAAGAGGCATGTAAATAAGCATCGCTTTACTTTTACTTACACACTAAAACAGATATTTTAGACCAATTCTCAAGATGGATAACCTTAGATTACTCGATGACGAACCTTTACAGTACGTCAGAGCTTGACACCCAAGAACATCCATTTGTTATGATCATACGATTAACACATTCGCTTCTACGTAACCTCTACAGGTGTCATCTGTAATGGGACACTGACTGACATAAAATAAAAAAGGATAAACCTCTCAACGCTGATCAATCCCGGAGGGATGCCCAACTTTGCAATAACTCGCGGTGGCCTACCGATGTATCGAGCCAGTGCTGCCATCCTCCCAGACAAGTCTGGTACTAGTTTGCCGACCCCGGAGGGTAGAAGGCTTGGTGGGCCATGGGCGGGGGGATTGATTCCACGTGTGTGCCGCAGTGGCACCTCCAACCACCGCGCCCCTTCCGACTGATATAATCCAACATTTGTTGTAATCAATCGATAGACTGTCTAACTTAGATTTTGTGGAGGGCGTTAATCGGGGAAAGTCCTGTTCTGCACTTAGAAATACGCAGAAAACTCTTTATCGAAGCTCACTGACCGGCAATTCGGCTCGGAATTAACTGTGTTTTAATTCTGGTCGTTGCTACGAAAAAAGGTTATCTTATGGAATGTGCATCTATCAAAACTATAGAAATATGTCCAGTATAAGTTATAAAAGCTTCCACATTCATGTGCTTGCATGATGGACCACAGTAGCACTTATAAAATAATACTACACACACCATCCATACTCACAGAGCAGAGACTACTCCAATCCTGCCATGCACAGAACACCAAAGTCCTCTAGTAATCGAGTATTACTACTTCCTATATACATTACCTGTCATCACATCTACGGTGTGGATCCCAGCACTTCATGCATCCAACTCGTCTTCATCGCATTCACCGTCCACAAAGATCTTAAAACATTTCGTGTGTTGTTTCAGCTGCGGCTCTTGGCTTTGTTCGTTATGAATGTCGCAGAATGCTGGTGGAGTCGATTCTTTTTGCAATCATGGCGATATTCGAGCTAAGGCGTTGCCGCGTAGACTGGAGGAGAGCGTTGGGAACAGTGTCGAGCCAGTGCCTTGTTTTCTGATGAACTGTATCACTGACCATTGTGCTACTTTCACCAGTTATCGAATGAATAGCGCTTATTGTCAAAAACCTAGCGAGCCCTTGAAGACTCAAAATTAGGTATTGTTCCAAACGGTAAAGACGCTAAAAATGGGGTGAGCGTCATGTGTTTAAAAAACTCAAACAAAAAAAAATCAAAAACTCAAGAACTCAAACACGGCACCCTTTTACACCATTTTTTTGTGCAAAAAAAGCTTCCGGAAATGTCAAACACCTCGATTAGAGAGGCGTTCTAAGGAATGAGTCTCTTCCACGTTGTACATCGCAGTTCGACGCCTAATTTATACGTCTTAAGCGGTAGCAAATCGTTCACTCCCTTCGTAAGCCACCCTCGCAGTAAATCCTTCGCAGACGAACTGGATTTCAAGCATGACAATAATGCGCCATAGGCCATAGATGATACTTACTTGATACTTAATATTGGAACGGCCCGTCTTTACCAGTTGCGCGAGCCCCAGCATAATCACCGTTTTCGGAGATTTGTTGGTTATTGTAGCTCCCTGGAATCACGAGGACAGCCTAGCCTAAGTATGCCCCAGGTGATCACCACGACAGGCAGTCGCATCCTTTGTGGATCAGAAGGAGATTTACCACCATGCGACTTTCATACCTAGATGGTGGTGGATCCTAGCATTGGTTTACTCTCAGCTAGGCTTCGTGATGGAAACGCCGGACTCCTTCTCAGCTTGGGAGACCCTGCCAGAGGAACGAATCCCCCCGCTGTAAACCGTAGTACGACATCCAGGAACACCTCCCAGCCACGATTAAGCGGTAAACCGTTGGGAGGGCCATAGATGATGGTGAACGTAAGTCTAGATCGAAACTCAACAGTCATGTAATGAGCCATGACTACTACTCAATCATCAAAATCATTGAGGAGGGATCCATTACGTAGGTGAAACCATTGAGAGAAACATGAAGACGTGGATTGAAAAACGTGGTGATCGCGAACAGTACCATGTTCACTAACAGCTGGAATCAATCGGTGGAAATAAAAACAACAATGCGACAACGGACACCATTTTGTATGTCTCGGTCAATCACGGTTTGCATGCCATCTAAATAACCACCTCTCAATTTCAATGAATAAAACATTTGCTAATTTTTATTACAGACTTGTCTTCACAACTACTATGCGGATCCTAGCACACCTTGTATCCCATTTACTTCCTTGCATCTACCATCTACGATGGTCTTCGACCTTTTCTGCATGTTCAAAAATAATAGAGGGTTTTAAATGCTACCACTCGACTCGAACACAATTTTATTAAACAGATATGAACCATCAGAATCTACATATTCTACAAACTTTTGCCAAAATTATGTACGCTTGCTTAATTCAATGGATAGAATTCCAAAGTTCTGTAGGTGACAAATTCGTCGGAGGCAGTCCCAGCAGTGGTTTCTTAGCTGGAAATCTATGCTTCTAAGTACATGACGAGATGCTTGAGGAAGTCGTCGTTTTTGAGGATAGAGGATTATGGTGAGTGGAGTAGCGTTTAGTAGCTAACTATGTTCAATACACGATCCCTTAGTTGCGTAATGTAGTATATTTTGGTTGTACATGGACTAGTCCTTTTCTTCTGACCAATCATGGATAGGACACGTTCAATTTTTACCAACCACCTATACGAGATGATGTCGCCTGTTATATAGGATCCATTCTTCACTATATTTCAGAACGAGTGGTAGAGCAATTGGTTGATTTTCTTACGTAAAAATGGCGTAGAGCAGATTTTAGGACCAATAACCTTGCTGGGCGTTCAATCATGTAGCACTTATTTATAGAGCTTTCTCTTCATGCAAAAGTGTTTAAATTAGAGAACAATTCTAGAATGGTTAACGCTGAGCTTCGTTACCACTCGTGTTACCTTCCATTACAGTACAACATTGAAAGCTGTCAACTGTTAATGGCCGATTACATTTATTGTTACCAAGGCTCATACATCCGATGTCCAAAACTTGTCCAACCACATAAATCATAAGCGCTTTGCTGGTCTAAACTCTAATGACAGACTTAACTCTTTTATTTACTGCCTTTTTCTTCTTAATGGCAGGGTATGTTGTGAAATATAAGTCGTATGAAGTGCTGAGATACCTACAAAACTCCGGGCCCGGATGGTGTAGTGGTGAAGTGCGCTGCTCCCCGGTAAGGACAACAGCGCGTGTTCGTTCCCCGCTGCATACACCTGTGGTCCGGAGTTTTGCATCTAATGACAGATTTGAGCAAACTACATGATCATCAATCTAACAACTACCACTTTACCACATATACCAGCTTCTTCACCGTCCACAGCAATGATAGAGGTTAAGAAATAAGGGGAGCACGTAAAACTCCCGCCCTCATGTGTTCGAGCTGTTCTGCAGAAACGCGGCTAGCATTTTGCATTTAACACTCTTGAAAATGAAGTGGTACAGTGAGTACACATCAAAGAGCTACTGGGAATTCCCACCCTATACCCTCTCACAATGTTGTTGTCTACAGCAAATGTGCGTGCAAGCAAAAAAAGTGATAGGTCACCTGGAGCATCCGAATAGAATGGCTTAAAATGCAATCGACAAAGTTCTGGCAAATTACTGCCATGTTTAAGAAACAAAACCAAAAATCGAAGCGTATGTACTCGACTAGAGTATTACCTGTGTCCACAGTTATTTTCATCTAGCAGATTTAGCTATCAGTACTGCCAAAAAATAATATTTCTAAGAACTGCGATTACGCGCAAAAAGAAACAACGAACGAACTATTTGACGTGGCCGCATGATCTGTGGAGTACGGTAGTATTAGCGACCAAGTACTGTGTGCGAAGAGATTCCAACAACAAAACGTCGTTGCGAAGGCAAATCGTTATTAATATATAGTAGTAGAGAAGTACAGCCCATAATAAACTGTTAACACTATCTCATGGCAATGATAAAAACTACAACCGACGACACGAAGCTCAGTATCAAGAGCAAAAACCTACAAATTAAATTTTTGTTGGTATGGTAACATTGAGGAGATAAACGTTCTACCTCTTCAAATCATCCAATCTCTTCTGCTCGGCCTCGATGTAGTTCTCTATGATGTTGGTAACTTCCTTTTCGGCACCAAGCATCTTCTGCATATCAGCAATAGCAGTGAAGAGATCGGCGGTACAACTGCCGAGGAGCAGGAGCAGTACACCCAGACACCACATGTGGCGAGAGACGAGTTTCCTCTGGAGCTCACTATAAAATTAATCTATAGTAGTACTGCTTCTTGAAAATTGTAACTGGTCTGATAAATCTCAACGTTGCAAATGAACTAGTAGAAGCAGCAAAGACAAACTACACTACAATTACTATCCACCATTTCCGACCAGCTTATAGCAAACTAACTGAATTAAAAGCTATCGGAGTATACAGAATTTTATTAATCAAACACAAGCTTTCTTATTCTAGATAATCGGAATTTTGACTTCCCGGAGCCTACTAAACTACTTCGTTGCTGAGGCTCGCATTTTGAATTCGAAAGCAAGTGAACAAATAGGCTGTTGTCCTACGGGAAACAATTATATGTCTGGTATTCGCAGATGCCTCCTATGCATTAGAAACTACTAAAATTTAAATTTCGCCTTAAATTTTTCTAGGATTTGAGTTTCGAAGAAGTTTAAAGTTGGAAGAAAATTAGTTTCTTACAGATTATATATACGTTCAAGGTGATGAATAACGCTTCTTGCAAAACTGTGTGACGTTCTTGATTTCATAAGGTAATCGCGCCGCTATGCTTCATGATTCCAAATTTGGCCAACCATCCGTGGAAGCAACACGAAATGTCATTAAGGCATAGGTCCGAAAAGAGGGTCCGAATCACAGTGCACAGATGGTTTACAAGGTTCTGAACTGTAGACATTTATTTCGTTCACCTATCCGTTGTTGATGACGACCATCTGATGGTAATAATAGAAGCTAACCCTCTAGAATCTACCCCAGAGCCTAAAGAAGAGCTCACTGCTACCCAATCAACTTTCGTCAATCGTCAATCCTTCGTCAATCTTTGTTTTAATGATGAGTGCACACTAGGTTATCTCAAAGCTTTACTATGTTCAATGTTTTAGTGACGCCTTGCTCTTCCTAGTCATAACGATTCGAGTTGAAAGCGCGACCCCGACCGTTTCGGCCCCAGTACGGCAAAATTTTAAACAATAAAGAAAAATTATATGCTTTTTACTTTCGCACTATATTTATATTTTATATGATTTCACGTTTACCTTTTCTGGAAAACAGAACTTGTATGAAAAGCAACAGAGACGTGGACAGAAGATTAAGACTGTCGAGCACATAATTAACAAATAAAAACATAAAACAGCTGATTGCAAATGATTGATGAAATTTAAACAAGAGGTGGTGAATGTCGTAAAAACATAAATAGATTTAATTAAAAGACCTAAAAGCTCTAAATTGACGGAGGAGAGTACAAGCCAGTAAGGGGAAGAGAACCCAGTGTTAATGAGAGCGCATAAACAGGATATTTAAGGATTCAGAGAACATCGATTCTTCCATTGAGATTTTTTGGCCAGATCGATCTCCATATCTCCGTCAGTGAGATGCAAATTGGAGAAAACAAGAAAACACCGAGTAGTACGACAGTCTGGCTAGAAAATCATTCAAGCACATCCATCCTAACTGCAATTAAATCATACCACATTTTCTTTGAGCTAAATACTTTTTTAAAAACGAAAGTCGGCCAGAACTTCAGTTCTCCGCACCGAAACGCGAACAGGTCTTCAGCTGTATCACTCTTACATGAAAAAAATTACTTTAGAAGAAATATTATAATATCATGAACATTAGCTTCTTACTACACCACAAACGTTTAAAGTAGTAGTAAAAAGGAAATGTAGACTACTGGCAGTGCTGGATTGTGATCCTGTGATGAGATAACTTCACAACTTGGCGAGATCGATGGACTGGAATGAATCCGTGCGCTCCGCGGTTCGGTCACGGTCGATGACCAGAACCTCGCCAGAGACACTGCGACGGGTAGAGGCGCAGGACTGAGTGGGCGCGGAATACGTGCGCGCTAAGAAATCGGGCTACAGATGACCTTTTAAGAACAAGCCTACAGACATGATGGGAAGCTGACCGGAGCCGAAGTACATCAAGACAACGAACTTGCCTAGCGGGATTTTCGATGCATTTCAAGAAACACGTCTACTTACACTTCAGCAGAGCTACGAACAAGTTCTGAATCTCCACTTTTTTGTGCGAATGACGGTGACTAGCGCCGAAATTGAAGAACGACCTTTTGAGTTCTACTTTAACAGTCTCAAGATTTTCCTCTGGAAAAGAAACTAGAAAGTAGATAAATCTTAAAGCAGAGCTCTCAAATTATCAAAAGCGAAAGACGTTCACTATAGTGCAAAGAACAAATGTTTATACTGAAATAAGAAAACCATTTCTGTCTTGTTTCGGTGATATTTCCCTTCCCACAGAGCAAGCCTTTTCTATACAGAACGACTGTTGATGATACTGATTGCCCTGCCATAATAATTTAATCTTTCACTGTTTTCCTCGATGAGCAATCATGAGGTTAAGGGTACAGCATTTATTAACACACAATGGCTAAAGCATCGGCGGCTTCGCCTTCTTCAAAGCCTGAGAAGGTCAAATTGACAAACAATCCACTCAGTCAAACACTTTCATAACCTCAGCAGAAATACATTTAGAATCTACACAGAATGGTTCAAGGGTTTTACGTGCTGGTGTTTTGGATTCCTACTCGAGGATGACAGAGTGACTTTTACTTCAAAATCTTTTTCATTATGTCTCTGAGCCCAATGTAACAGGCCTAGTGGAGTATTTGGTCTTACTTCCAATTTACCTAATAGATATTTTTAATATACACGCACATTATTGATCGAATCCAAAGTTTCAAACTAAATCGATCTTTGAGCCTCATTATTTATTTTTCGAACTAACCGTCATTAAATGTCGACATTAATACATTCTTGGATTATTAAGCTAACATGAGGTTGATGAAAAGGTTTGCGGTTAAGGTTTCCGTGTCTTCGTCTTCTTGAAAGTCGGATTGATCCAATTCGATAATCCACAACTGGTCGTGGTCGCAATGTGGTTGCTCGTTGCTATTTGTTATGACTGTTTATTATTATTATTATTCTATTTATTAATAGTATGCTTATATACTATCTATAATACATATTGTTACGATATTGTATGTCTTATATATATAATAAACAAACGATGGTATAACGGCGCGTGTAGCGCAGAGGTCTAAGGCGCCCTGCAATACACATGGGATCGATCTCCGCACCCCAGACACACTAAGCTCTCCATCCCTCCGGGGTCGGTAAATTGGTACCAGACTTCTCTAGGAGGATAGAAGTATTAGCTCAATACATCGGTATGCCACCGCGAGTCATTGTAAAGGCCAGATATGCATTCGGCCACCTCCAACGATGCTTAATGAGGTAGAATGCATGGCACATCCCTTATGGATTGATCAACGCCGAGAACTCTATCCTTTTTATGATTGTATAATATTACGTAATTATAGTGCCTTTGTTAGTTATATATTATAATATTAATGTAACATAATAACATATTGCAATATTGCAACGTTACTGAACGTACAGTCTACAGGACGATGCTAGGAGTATCCCGTTTCACACAAGTAAGGGATGGGATCCGAAGCTCCCACCTGTGTCAACGAACAAAAATCAAAGATGCCGTTCTGTACGCCACATAGTCGAAGATAAGGTGGGCCGGACACGTAATGCGTATGAATGACAACCGATGGACAAGAGCCGTTAGTGACTGGATTCCTCGGGATGTCAGACTTGCTGCAGGAAGGCCACCGACTCGATGGTCAGAGTTGTTCACAAAGAGCCTTGAAGAAAGATATGATGATCGACGAGTCTCTAAAGCGAACAGAACCCACTGGGTTACTCTTGCACGCGACAGGGAAAAATGGAGGATTTACTGGCGCCCGCTCGAGTCACTCGACGGTCAACGGGACTATAGGTGATACAGGTGACAGGAATATTGCAACATTATTATTAGTACTACATTTTCATATTATCTAACGTATCTTGTAATCAATACGTATTTAAATTGTTGAGCTTACAGGACGTTGATAAACACATTTATTCGGCTAGCGTTTCGATGTTCTCGTCTTCATCAGAGCAGATGATCCGACTCGGTGTTGTTTTCATCAACCTCGTGTAAGCTCAGCAGTTTGAAAACATGCTGATTATTTTGCTACCGAGGTTAAACAACGGTCGGCTTGAAAGAAGTACTTGTATATTAGTACTATTTTATTACTGCACATTGATTATTCGTAAGGAAGTTAGACGAAAGTTGATCTACAATAGCATTACTTCGGCAAATGTTAGCTGATGTAATGTCGACTGCTGCAGGATTAATTTCCCGTTGAACAACAAATGATTATCAGCGGACCATCAAAATCATCAACAGCCATGCTGTCTAAAAGAACATCGTTGAGAGAGGTTACTTCATTCACAGGGTGCTCAAGTGAAGAATTTTCGACTTGATACGACGGCGAAGAGCCACTACATCGCGAGAACAAACAACCGTGTACGATAGACTGGGATCATCGGCTCTGAGGAAGACGAAGGCGTCGAAACATTAGGCGAATAAACATTCTCGTCAACCTTGTGTTAACTGATTAATGAAGGAAAGTACATTGATTATGTACACTGGGTTAAAAGAAAGCCAGTTTACAACAGTTTGGATTCAGTCTGGCACCTGCAGCAGCAGGGTAAAAGGTTGTCCCAGCTGTTGCACAGCCCTATCATTACAGCTTTAAATGCAAGAAAACTCTTTCACACAGAGTAAAGATTAATATCGTTTCAGTGTCAAAGAGATGAACGAATCTTCTAAGAGACCATCGTTTTGTTCAACGAAAAACGATTTAAAAAATGAAAGTTAGAATCGCCTTAAATACAGAGTAATTATAGATCCAATTTTTTCACCACACGATTTTCCCACTATTTTCGTTGAAACCATAGACATTGTAAAAGAAAACGGAACCCAACAAAAAGTTATGAGGAAAACAATACCTTTAGGATATAAAAATAGAACGAAAGGTTCAAAACAGGTAACAACGTAATCAATGAAATGAATTGTAGAGCTATATGATTATAATGAGGATAAGTCAATTCCCATTGGCCAGATA